AAAAAAAAAAAAAAAAAAAAAAAAAAAGAGTTGGTGCCTTTTTTATTTCCCCTTCGTTTTTCATTTTTTCTTCTTTTGGGAGCCAGCTATCGAGGATTGGGCCATTCAGTAGCAATTGTATATACAGAGGGGCTTAGGAGGTCACTACACATGCCCCGGGAAAATGCAAGCACAGAAAAGACCCAAGAAGACATTCAGTTTTACCTCAGGGTGGCCCTTGCCACAGAAACCCTCCACAATTTAACAATAAAAAGAACAAAAGACACCTACCCCCCCCAAAAAAAAACCCCACTGAAAAAACAGCAAACTGTGGGGAAGCAGGAGAATCTGACTTCCAGAATTACCATGTATGTTATTTGATACGAATAGCTAGTTTTTAGCCAAAAAAAAAAAATCAGGTGTACAAAGAAAGTTCGAAATGTGGCCCATTCAAAGAAAGAAAAAGCTAGGGCCAGGAATTTAACTCAGTGGCACTGTGCATGCCTTGCAAGCAGCAGGTCCTGATTTTGATTCCCAGTACTGGGGGTGGGGAATGTGTGTAGGGAATAAGCTAATAGGTACTGCCTCTGAAAAAGACCTCATGGCAGATCTATAAGATGAAGACTAAAACAACTGGTTAAAGGATACTCTAAGAATTAAAGATATCAAAAAGATAAATTAAACAATGTATTTGTAAAATGGAAATATCAGTGAAAATAGAAAATTTTAAAGAAACAAAAAGAAATTCTAGAACTATAAAGTACAAGAACTGAAATGAAAAATCTGCTACAGAAATCCATAGGCAGGTAAGAAGCGGAATCAGTAAATATGAAGTTAGGATAATGGAAATTATTGAATCTGAAGAACAGAGAAAGGATTAAAAAAAGTGAATGAGGTCTAAGGGACCTGTGGAACACCATCAGTTGACCCACACATGTGTTCTGATAAAGAATATTTGAAGAAATAATAGCTGAAAACTTCACAAATTTGATTAAAGATATAAATATCCATGAAACTTATCAAACAGTAGGATGAACTCAAAGAGAACCAGCCCAACGTACGTTAAAGTAGAATTTCTGAGAGCCAGAGACAAAGAGAGAACTTTAAAAGCAGCAAGAGAGAAACAACTCATCACATACAGGGGATCCTCAGTAACAAGATTTCACATCAGACATCAGAGATCATAGAGAAAAAAGAGAAAACTGTCAACCAAGAATCCTACAGCTGGCAAAACTGTTTTTCCAAAGTGAGAAAGAAAGTAGGACAAACCCAGATAAACAAAAGCTGAGGGAGTTCTGTACTAGACATGTCCTGAAAGAAATGGTAAAGGGAGTCCTGTAGTCTGAAATGAAAGAACACTAGACAGTGTTTGGAAGCCTATGAAGAAATAAAAATCTCAGTAAAGGAAAATACATGGGCAATTATAGAAGCTAGTACTATATTATTGTAACAGTGGTGTATAACGTTGCTTTTTGTTTTCTACGTGATTTAATAGACCAATACATTTTTAAAAATTAGTCTAAAACAGTGGTGAACCTACATGCTGCAGCAGGCTGTTATTATCATTGAAAGCTCTAAAAGGCTTGCCATCAATGGTCTAAGATGTGTGTGATGGTACCTGCCCATAATCCCAGCACTTTAGGAGGCTGAGGTAGAACATTCAGGCCCAATCGAAGTGATTAAATGAAACTTTGTCTCAAAATAAAAAATAGGCTGCAATGTAGGTCTGTGTGAAGACCCTGGGTTTAAGTCCCAGTGCTGCCCCTGAAAAATCTAAAGCTAGAGCTATGATAATTTCACTCTGTAACACCACACTCTTGTTTTTGTATAAAGAGGCTAACATAATTGAAATAATTATCAGTTGATGGTTTTGGACATAATTTATAAATATGTTATTTTGTGACCTCAGCAGGTGGAAGCAGTATACATGGAACTGTTAATGTCAGATGAGTACTTTTTTTAGTGTTATTGAAGTTAGCTTGGTATGAATTCAC